AAAATGCATAATATTTAATTCTTTGTGATTTATTGAGCAACAACGTATTCCATATCCAGATAATTAAAATTCGTAGATATAATTTTGATTTTTCGTAGATAAAATTAAAAATCAAACAAATAAAAAGTCAATTAGATTTTTTAGGAAAATATTCTCGATTCTAAAAAATATCGATTAGGTTTAAAATAAGCGCCTCCCTAAATAGAAGTGTCATAATCTCTTTCTTACGCTGAATAGACTATAGCACACGTGCTTAATGGGATATTTTAATAAACCAATTATGAATTTTGACTTAACATATACAGGGCGAGCTATTTGTGGGTGATCAAACAAAAAGGATTGATCCTACTGCTCAAATAAAACAACTTTCTTACAGAAACAATACACTAAGTAGGCGCGCACACCGTTGATTTTTAGTTGGCCGATAGTTGTGCTAGATTTTAAATTCTATGAAGAATTGGCCAAATCGAATCGGCGTAGTGTGTGCACTCCCATACATATCAACTACCCGACTAAACTATCGGCCGAAGAAAAATCAACGGTGTGCGCCTTTTCATTTACTTACTTGGTAGAGTGGTCCAAGTAGTGCAAAAGTCTCTCGTTCTCTTCTCTGAGCCGCTTCTCGACATGCGCCAAGTATTGCGGTACCGGCAGTTCGCGCATTAGTCTTTGGCCTTCTGCTGCGTACAAACGCTCTGTTGCTAACAGGAACCTACGAAGAAACATTTAATATTGTGCCTACATTTATCATCGTTCGTTCGTTTCAGCCAAATGACGTCCACTGCTGGACGAAGGCCTCCCCCAAGGTTTTCCACAATAAATACCGCATCCAATTTCTTCACGCGACCTTTACCAGGTCCCAGTAGTACCGTTGTGGCAGAAGTTCTCGAGTGGCGACCACGGGTTGGAAGACGTAGCGTGGGCAGGCCTCCCACTAGGTGGTCCGACATTTATCATCTAGATAATTATGATTTCTGAACACCTTTTATAAGGTGTAATAAAACATTGCTAGAAATTTTTGTTTTTAGAATAATACTGTTTTTATAAAATTCATCATAATTTATACTAAATTATTAAACGTAATTTTTCGAATTTTCACAGGACATCAGTATTTTTCTTTATTTTTGTTATGCTTTTAAATACTGTTGGGGCATAATTTAAAATTTGTTACAAGCAAAAATAAAATAAACGTTACTTGTGTTCAAAAGCGTCCTGGTAGATCTGGAGATCGGACAACATTCTCAGTAAGCTCTTGAGCAGTGATCGGTCCACTGCGTCCCCGCCTCGCTCCTTCTCTATGAGCAGAAGCAGCCCGTCCACCGTGCGGGTCTGCACGAGTGTGTTCATGGCTATGTGGTGCCGGAACAGGTCCAGACCCATATCCCTGCAATCAAGGAATTTATAGTCAAATAACGTAAAGTGACTTATTGTGTGGTGTGGTAAGTGACAGTGAATGGTTAAAGAGGATGAAGATGAAAATGGGACGGCCGAAGAAAAGATGGGCCGATGATATAACAAACAAGGCAGGGGAAAATTTGATGCACATAGCCAGCGACAGGGAAAGATGGAAAATGATGGAGGAGGCTTTTACCCAAGTGGGGCCACAATCAAGAGAAATACTTGATAATTTTAAATGAAACTAATTAATTTTAATTGTGGATTTTTAAAGCTATAATAATAAAAAATAATAATGAATTTTTATAAGTATTCATACCATATAGAATGTATGCTAGGGTTCTGTAGCACATAAGTTCGGTCTAGGTAGAGGAAGATGCTGCGGATCATGATCATCTGGCGGCAGTGTGCCCGCCAGCAGTCATCCATCCTCTTGAGGAACACCTGCCGGTCCATGCTCTCGGAGAGGAACTGTTCGATGTTCGCTTTCACGTGAGCTTCTACCAGGTTTGTCAGATTCACATACAGTTGTGATGCCATCTGAAAGTTACAATGGTTGGATTATAACTTTCAATAGTTACAATAGTTGGATTATTACCACCCACATTGAAAACATAGTTAGCAACCTAAAATCTTTCAACAATTAAAATTCTAAATCACGTAGGAGAGAGCAACGCGTAAACCGATAGCGCCGCGCTCTCTCTGAAATTAAAAATGCCCAAATTAAAAAAAAAATAGTTGGATTATGGCATGGTACCTATCTAAAGCCTGAATTTTTAAACTCTCTCTCTCTCATATCGGCTAGGTTCCTAAAGACAGTATATCAACAGTAATTCTAAATTTTGCTGATTCTACGTTAATATAAACTCAATTTTCAACTCAAAAATTGTTCAAAAATGAATTTCTGCTGATATCGCTAGCACGGCAGATTTGTTTACCTGATATTCTAAGCTCAAATAAATGTTTTTCGTGATTGACACTGAGTACAATGTGTTAATGTACTATATTAAAATAATCTACAATATTCTAATTATATTCTAATTTGAACCGCACAAAGTAAATATCAATAATAGTGACATGTAAACATGTGGCTTACGACATAAGACGAATGGTAATCTTACTGGATAGGTTTGTTTACCTTATGGCTGCACATATTCTCGACCGCCTGGTACAACTCTTCCAAGGAGTAGGCGATGGCCTTGGAAGTCTGGATGGCGATCACCGCCTCTCTTAGCTTGCTCCATGTCGTCTCTTGGTAGTTTTCCGGAAGATTCGGTTTACCTGCGAAGAACACACTATTACCTTCTAGATGACATTTAGGTTATAAGAATGACATGACGACAAGAAAAGCGTAAACACACTTTTGAAATTCTTTATCACTAGCTTCTTCGCCGTCGCCCCCGGCTTATTCATCATCGTCGTGACGGTCCCGTTGGAGTTCGGGGTAAGCATCGAAAAGTTCGATTTCTTCTCGTTGGCACTCATATCGTCCGATTTTGATCTTTTATTATTACACTGATCGTTGGTAGGAAGGGAACGTTTTCTACACAAATTTCCACCCTCCTCAGCCGAAACAGGCGTTTTAGCTAAACCCGACATAAGAGAGCATGTTATGGCCGCGGCCACTGCACTAATTAAACAATACAAATTACACTAATTAATATAAAATCAAACAAAAACAGAAAAGCTCAGTCAATTTTCACGACAATCACCACCATTATGATTAGTTTTACAATTTCTATGACAGAGGGCGCTTTATTTTCAAGCTGTCAACATAACTGTCATTGAAATTCAATGCTATAGTTTATGGTTTTAAGGGACACACACACTACAAGTAGTACCGTTATAACGTTATTTCATAGCATATTCACAGGACGGTTTCCAGGTCTCCAGGTAGAATGTTGTCTCCCAGTTCTCTCCAGTCGATATTCAGAAGGCTGGGTCAACATTAAGCCGCAAAAAAAAATCAATTTTGAATGTGGATAGAAATGAGGAGATCCGTAAACGAACTAAAGTCGCTGATATAGCCCGACGGATTAGCAAGCTGAAGTGGCAATGGGCAGGGCACATAGTACGCAGAACTGACGGCCGATGGGGCAGCAAGGTTCTGGAGTAGAAGCTGCGTACCGGAAAACGCACCGTGGGACATCCACCCACAAGGTGGACCGACGACATCATAAAGGTAGCAGGAAAGCGCTGGACGCAGGCCGCTACCAACCAATGTTCAGCAGTGGACGTCCTATGGCTGAGATGATGATGATGATGATGATGATGTACAAAAAACCCGCGCTGGAGACCTAAGTTGGGTTGAAAGAGTTGGTTTGGCCGAACCTTGAGCATCTGTGAATGAAAAAATGTTGCAAAAACTGAATAAATGATTTTCACGCGTAGGAAGTCAAGGTCACAGCACTTCACAGCAGTAAATACCTTAGATTAAAATTCTTATTCTTCTTCCTCGGTCCCTTACTGATGAGGATCGCGACCACATATTATAGTGTTCCTCCACAGACTAAGTACNGATAGTACCTACAGTCATAATCTGTGTGGACCGCACGATGCAAGCTTCCACCCGCCGTCCTACTATTACGCGTCTGATCTGACCATCTCGTCCCTCGTCTGCCTTCCATTTGTCCCAAGATAATTTGTTTCTCCAAACAATGCCTTGGAGACCGCATTATGTGTCCAAAGAAACAGAGGGTACGCTTTAGGCATAAATAGTGGAGAGCCGCGTGGTGTAGATTAAAATAGGTTGATATTGAATTAAACTAGGTATTATAGTCAGTCACTTATTATTATACACCTAAAATACACTATAAAACGCTGCGGGAAGCAAATAACGTAATCTGAGTATTGAGTGAGTACCTAACGCCTATGTCTTTATTTATAGCAATAATTCTCCGTCGCTGCTATGGTCACTGCACTTTGTTTACTGAAGTTTACGAAATTAATGATATAAGTAATTATGCATTTTCTGCAGAGAAATTTAACATCGACATTTAGCAGATTAATCAATTGAACTCCATATTCAGTAAGTACCCGGAGCAAGACCAAATAACAAGTTCACGAATGAATTGAAAACGCTCTAAGCTTTTTTAAGGAAAACGAACACTAACCGAGTCATTCGTGCTTAGGGCACAGTCTATCACAGGGGTTACAAAAATACCTTTGAATCATTTTACTATTTAAAAGAGAACTTAGGAGCTTAGATCAATACTCAATACTCAATCGTTTATTATTATCAAGTGTTGAAATGTCAGGGATGAGAGTTGCTGAAACTGAGATTATTCGCCGGAGCTTGCTTTTACGTTGGTTTGCAGATAACTCAAATGCCATTCTATTTTTAACGATTTCGGCAGTAAATGCTTGAACAGTAATTGAGAATACCATATGGCACAGGCGCAGATAATTTCATTTAAATGTAACCAGATGCAAATAAGTATTATTTCGGCAATGAGCCAGTTTTTTAACAACACAAAAATGCAACGCGATAATGTTTATCTAATTAAGTGCTATTGTGATGCTCGGCGAGCTGGTGAATTGATTACACCCTCGCGAAGTGCAGGTCCGGGGGCGGGGTGTAACAAGTGTCGGGAGTCGGGCCGGGATAGTCGGGATGTGTGCGGCGCCCCCGCTCGACGCCCATTCAATCCCTGTTCATTCACTCCGGCTCACAGCGATCGCGTCGTCCGGTCGCGTGGGTGGCTCGTTGGAGGTCGTTTTCGAACGCGGTCTCTACTTTCGCGCGCGAATTCCATTCCGGAAATGACTTTTGTTTTTTAACTTATTTCGTGATGCTGCCGGGATTTTTTTAAAAATTAGTGTTATTTCTTTTTCACAATGGGTGAGCAAACCTTTTCGATACCAGATGACCATTTGGAACAGCATATCGTTACGTTGTTTGAAAAGTTGGAGTGTTTACGTAGTAATGCGAACACGAATGACGCGGCGTTGCCAGGACGGGTGCCGGCTAGGATGGAAGTGAGGACCTTGTCTTTGTGGAAGGCAGTGGTGGCGGAGTGCGCGGCTTCGTTCCTGTACGTGTTCATAGTGTGCGGCGCGGCTGGCGGCGCCGGCGTCGGCGCCTCTGCCTCAGCTGTGTCTTTGGCCACCGCTCTAGCTTCGGGCTGTGCCATCGCAACTTTGACATTGTGCTTTGCCAATATTTCTGGTAAGTACTACCACAGATAAACATAATATTCTAGGTAATAAAACACAGACTCTACCATTTTGTAGTCCCTACCAAATAAGTAAATAAACTTAGCTAAAAGTTTCCTTGGGCTGCTACGAGTAGAAGATTTAAAACCCCCTGAAAAAGAACCAACTAGATACGCCAATATTATCCATTCCTTACAATACTCACCTACTACGAATACAATAAAAGAAGGTGATCCAGAGGCTGCAAAGGAATGGCAACAAGACGAAAAAAGTATCATTTCTAGGTACACCCACCCACCATAAGAAAAAAAGCGGCAAGCTGCTGGCTGTCAGTGCTCTTTACACGGTACATATACAATAGGGCACGTAAACAAAAAGCTCTACCCGTGGGAAACGAATTGGAATAGATGAGCGATAAAGTCTTACGACCGACGTCATGCCTATTTATGTACCTTTAGTATGTAGGCAGGCTTAAATGAATACCGTAGTATTTTTAAAGGATAATAAAATAAGGAACACTAAAAAGTTTTCTTAAGAATAATAAAAAGACAGGTGTATGGGCATATTAAAATTATTTATGTTTAATATCATTTTGCGTTCAACTTTTATCGAATTTCGGCGTGCAAGATGTAAAGTTAAATATAACTTTTTAATTATTCATCAGACATCAGCATTTTAATGGGCTTTTAGTTCATAATATTAGGTAAATTACTTAAAAAAAGTACTCGTATGTATGTACATTGTACATAAAAGTAGGTACTTAAAACTTGCCTATGATTTTACTTCCGTAAGGTTAGGAAACAGAAGAAAGGTGATTTTTTGGTGAAAAGGCAAAGGCCTAATATCCTTGCTTACAGCCAAGTGAAACGGGTATGTAATCGGGTGGTAGAGTCACGCGTGGATTAGAGTGTATCCCAATTAACCCCAGAGCTGCGTAATATCTAAGTATGGTAATATATTTCCAGTTGATAGCAGCCGCGGATGAGTTACGAGTTACGCGCGGGCAGATGTTCACAATTACGTTCCTTTTTAACGAGGGTCGCCGGCTGCGGCGGAGGCCGCGTTTTTTTCCACGTTTCAAACTTTCAAGCACCTTTTGCGGTTCACGCATGGTGCAATATTAAATCTGTCAGTCGGTTTAATGTGAGAATTTAAAATAAAGTAACAAGTTGTAGCCGTTTACATTTTAGGAGGTTTTTACAATCAGCACATTGTTTTATTACGATACTAGCTTTTGCCCGCGGCTTCACCCGCATGAAATTTAGTTTGTCATAGATCGTCATAAATTATAGCCTATACCTATGTTATTCTGGGTTATAAAGAATAATACTGTAAAGTTTCATCAAAATCTGTTCAGTAGTTTTTGCATGAAAGGGTAACAAACATGACATCCATCCAGACATTCAGACATCCAAACTTGCGTATTTATACTCGTAATATTAGTAGGATTGTAACAAGACTTGATCTTTAAATTACATATATACTTCTTTATCTTTATACGCATTTAACTGATGGATTGTGTTACATGCGCTTAAAGCCACCTGCAATCCAAGGGTACAATCGAACGTTGGCCACCTAGGATCTTTATCAGCCATCTGATCTAACAAGTGTTTAAATAAAATAATGTAACTATAACTAAATTCTGCAGCCCCAAATATGTATTTAAAGCTCATCTCTTCGTCATAGATATAATGAAAAAACCACGGTACATTAAGCGCATTAAAATAATCGAGGGAGCACGTGCGTTCACCCTTTCCTTCCCGATGCCACAATGGCGGCAATGTCACAATGACAGTTTAAATTATCCGATAATAAAAATGACAAGAGGTGTTCGCGCGATGTCGCCTCGCGCTACAATTGAACTAATTTTCGGCCCACTTAGGGTGACCGTATGACCGATGCGAAATTTATTGATGCGACATTTTAAATATTTTAAAATCCCCATCATAGGGTTTTAAAATATTAAAGCAGTTTTTTATATGAATCATTTAGAAAGAATAAACCATATAGAGCGTTAACTTTCACTTTTGTGTTCGCGTGCGCTTTGACACAATTGATTTTCTTACGTTTCTGCATGCGATTCTTCTTGTCACCTTAATTAATATTGATTTGCGCTATAACTTTTTGACTTTACCAAAGATGGCAAAGTATCAAAATTACAACTCAATCGAACTCTGAAGAAGTGGGTCAAATTCAATACCGCATTCGAGTCAGGTGAAAATAAGGGGTCCATATTGGCTCACCTAAAGTTATTTACCCGAAATTGTTCTTCCTAACGATTTTAAATCCGAATGATCACTCTTCCTAAAATTTTTCTTCCTAAAGTTTTCATTCATACTATTTGTAGTGCTACCGGCGATGTTCATAACACTCATATTTCCGAAAATTTTAATTAATAATATCATTTATGTAAATATATTTAAACTCCTACTGTTTTTTATCATAACACTTTTATCCCTAAACATTACCATAATATTTTCACTCATACCATAGAATAAAAATAAATACTACGTACAGAAGTACGTTCTTCGCGAATGAAACGTAAGGCCACAGTTCTAACCTAACCTAAACCAATAATAATGAATAGANTGTTAGCATTGTATTCATCCTTATGTATGTCTAGGTTGAAATGAATTGTCGGAGTAAGAATAAGGGATTCAACAGAAAATATCGGAAGAATCGCCGTGTGGTGACGGCAGAGTAGAATACATTTGTCACCAACCCCTACTCTTCCCGCGGGTGTCGTAAGAGGCGACTTAGGGACTACACAACAAACAGAGAATGGGCAGCAGCGCTCTCTGAAAAACATCAATCTTTTAAACTGCGATCTCCAACCCGCCTGCCAAGCGTGGAGATTATGGCAAATCCCTCCACCATAGTGGAGGAGGCTCATAGTCCAGCAGTGGACTGTAAAGGGCTGTTGATGATGATCGGAAGAAAGGAGGTTCTGTAGACTGGGGCTTGGATTGATATAAATTTACGAAAACTAATAATCACACAAGGAGGAGATTTACGTGACCAATAAGAGGAAGTATCAATTAAATCATTAAGTCTGTTGAGTTTGCTATATTTATGATGGTCAGCAAATTGAAGTACACGGAAAAGATACTTCATCTGTGTGCATATCTTCTATATTTATGATGATAATAACAAAATCTTCTTACTTGACTAGGCGACCTTGGCCTTTGGTTCGACGAATAAAAACGCCTGTAATTGCTGCGTCGCAAATTTTCACGGTCATTCTTCATGGCACATAATTCCAATTGCAGTTGTTGTAGCTGTGTAAGCACATTTTCCATTGTTTGGTCTTGAATTTTGCTGCTGTTATCGTCGACTGCTGAGACTTCATTTATTTTTGCATTCTCTAATATTTTATCAGCGATTTGGCTCATTTTGTCTAAATCTGAAGTGTCGGATACGGTCAGAACAGAAGTCACATTCAATGGCAATAACCTGAGCCACAAAACTTGAATGGTTTTATCGTCGATTATCTCGCGTCCTAACTCCCGCATCCGGCGCAGGAGGTGTGAAGGTTTCGAATCTCCCAGATCCAAATCGGTTAATAGTTTATGTAAACGCTGTTGTTCCGATTCTTCAAAACAACTAATTAACCGTTCTTTAATAACTGAAAATTTGCCAGTTGTTGGAGGGGATGATATTATGTCGCTTACCATGATGAGCTCTTCTTTACAAAGTTTAGCGACGACCATGTTGAATTTGAATTCATCGCCTTGCTTTTGAGGTGCCAAAACTGATTCCAGCTGCGCGAACCATAGACGAGGTTGGTCCTTCCAGAATTCGGGAATACGGGATGTGACAGCGGTACCGGCAGCGACTTCTTGTGGTGTTGTGTTGCACGATTTGCACGGAGATGACATGTTGACGGTGATTGATGTTGATGACACGGACGCGAAATTTGCTCTGCTCAGTCGGGGTCACCAATTTGTGCCGACGATAAGGGAGTTTATAAATGAGACAGAAGTTGGTATTTGTCTAATTTATTAATTACAATTATGGAGTATATATACTAAAGAAAATGAGAGATAAGTAACGTCACAGTATCTAGCATCTTATCGTTACGTGAAAGATCTGCTGACACTGTGTGAACGTGATTAAGATAACGTATGCAGAGATTGAGTATTGTGCATACCGGCACACTTACCTTTGTGATTAATTTTACTTTTAAATGTAGAGTCAGTTCACGTAAAATTGATTTCATCGTAAAACTCACTTACCTTAAAATAAATGAATAAATTCCATATTCTGGCCTTTCAAAGTAAAGATAGGATGACAAATATGAGATAAATAATGTTTATTTCATTTTTTTCCCACGGCATGCAGCTCGTATTGGTAACTTGTTTGCTTTGGTAGAGTGGTTCAAGCGGTTATTTTGGACTGAGTTTGTTCGACAAGAAGTCAGTTCATTACTGACCTAACACCTACATTGTCAAATGCTTGTTCGAAGCGCAGAGAGCTAAAAATAAAAGCCCGGTAGGTATTAATTTTTGTTCAATTTTATTGAAGTGGATAGATATATAATGTTAGTACAGTAATTAAGTAGGTATGAGTAGTAAAGCTTTGTAAAAGCTTACTAAGCTAAGCTGTATTAGCTCCGCTAGAAATTACATTGTAAAATTCCCGCACATTCCATTCGCCCTAATTTTCTCTAACAGCTTGCAACCCCGCTCGTGGCTGACTAATGTGGGTCCAGTTTTAATCGATGCATGTTAATCTCAATGTTAATATAGCTCGCTCGTTCGTTATTAGTATAACCACAGATAATATAATACGTATAACTAATGTTCAATTCAGTGGGCACAATATTTTGATACTTATTCCTAGTACCTTTGTTTTTAATCTTCTTTAAAGGTGAAAATTTATTTTTTAAGTTACATGTTAGTTTATTAAATAACAAAATAAAATTTTATAACGATAAAACTCTCCCACTTTCGAAAAAATCGCCTTTATTTGTACATTTTTCACAACGTTATGACATAAGATTTTTACCAGGAT